CCCCCCCCCCCCCGGGGTCCCACTCCCGGTGCCGCGTCCCACCTCGAGAGGACACCGACGGTGCGGGACGGCCGTTCCCGGTCGGTTTCTCCCCACCCGGTGGCAGCGGGACCCCTCGGATGGGGGGGGGAGTGGGGGGGGTCCGGTGCCGGTGCCGCCCCCATCAGAACCATGGAGAGGGAACGGGGTGGGAGATCCGTTCTCCCCCCCGCGCTGCCCCCGCGCTGCACCGCACCGGGGTTCGGTCCCGGCCCCGGGAGAGGTCCCAGAACGGTGCGGGCGGACCCCAGCAGAGGGCGCGGCGGAGTCGCTCCGAAGCGATCGCGTTTACATCGGCGCCGGTAATACCGGAGCGATTCTCAGATCTGAGCGCAGAGTGCCACCGCGCGGCTCCGGGGGGAAACCGCGGCTTTCCGGGGGGCGTCCCGGGGAATTCCGTTATTACCGAACCGGGTAGACGAACCCGGGGTTTTCCCCGCGGTGGTGACGTCACGCGTGACGCCACCGTCCGGTAGGAGCGGAAGAGCAGCCGGGAGGTAAAGCACCGGGGGGGGCCGAGGAAGGAGGGAAGGGGGTGGGAGGCAGCGGACCCCTCCGGCTCCGGGAGCGGCGCGGGGAGGCGGGGGTTAAAGCTCCGCCGTGACGTATCCCGGTGGCTCCGCCCCGCCCCGCGGCGCCGCCGAGCGGAGCCCCCCCCCGAGAAGGTGTGAGCGGCCCCGGGCCCGGGGTAACGGCGGTGGGACGGCGCTCGTGGGGCCTGGAGGGGGGGGAGGGTGGTGACCCCCACAAGGGAGGCTCCGGGGTTGGTGGGGGGAGGGGGAGGTGGCTGAGGGGTCTGAGGGGGTCGGGGGGTGTCCCCCCCCCAGCGGGGATCCTGGGGTTCGCTGTGCCGGATGAGGGGGGGCTGAGTTCAGCCCGCGGCCGTAGGGCAGCGTGGATGTGGTGGGAGGGGAAAAGCCCCCGGCCACCTCCCCAGCCACGTCCACGGCCACGTCCCCATTCCCGTCCCTGCTCGCGTTCCTGTCCACGTCCCCAGCACTGTCCTCGTCCATCACCGCGGCCCCACTTGTGTCTCCATCCCCAGCACTGTCCCCACGCGTGTCCTCATCCCTGTCCGTGGCCACGGCCTCATTCGCATCCTTGTCCACCTCCCTGTTATCTAAAGCTACACCCCCCCTCGTGTCCCTTCCCCCTATCCACATCCTGTCCCTACCTACATTCTTGTCCCTGTCCATGACCACGTCCCCATTCATGTCCCTTTCCTTGTCCCCAGCCCCATCCCTTTTCCCATTCATGGCCATATTCTCATTCACATCCCCATTTGCATCTCCAGCCCCATCCCTGACCCCATCTCTGTCCCCACATCTGGGCCATCCCTCTCCTCACATTTTGGCCATCCCTGTCCCCACATCTGAACAGACCCCATCCCCATACCTAGGCCATCCCTGTCCCAGTGTCTGTGCTGTCTCTGTTCCCACATCTGGACCATCCCAATCCCCACATCTGGGCCATTCCTATCCCCATACCTGTGCCATCCCAATCCCCACATCTGGGCAATCCCTGTCCCCAAATCTGTGCTGTCTCTGTACCCACACTAGACCATTTCTGTCCCCACATCTGGGCTGTTCCTTTCCCCACACCTGGACCTTTCCTATCCCCATACCTGTGCCATCCCTGTCCCCACATCTGAACTGTCCCCATCCCCACATCTGGACCATCTCTGTTCCCACATCTAGACCATTCCTGTCCCCACATCTGGGCTGTTCCTATCCCCACACCTGGACCATTCCTATCCCCATACCTATGCCATCCCCATCCCCACATCTGGGCCATCTCTGCTCCCACATCTGAGCAATCTGTATCCCAACATCTGGGCCGTCCCTGCTGCTTGCAGCCCCCCCCCCCCCCCCAGCCCAGGCAGCCCTCGCCCCCACACACCCTGCAATGAGGGGCCGGGGTCTCGTGGGGCGATACTGAGCAGTGTCTCCAGCCATGGCCGCGCTGCTGAAGGCCGTTCTGAGCGCCTCGGAGAAGGCAGCTGAGATCGCACGGCTGTGCCGGGATGCGGAGCCGCTCTTCCGACTGCTGGTGGCCGAGAAAACCGGAGCGGATCGGAACCAGCGCTTCTCCCACGACTTCAAGACTCTGGCAGATGTCCTCATCCAGGAGGTCATCCGGCACGACCTGGGTGCCAAGGTGAGGGTTGGCTGGGAGGGAAGGGGGCCGAAATGTGGGGGTCTGCGCGCTAAGAGCTGTCCCCGAATTTGGGGACGTTTTCCCCGAATTTGAGCACTGCCGTCCCTGCAGTTCCCTGAGCTGCGTGGCCACATCGGCGGCGAAGAGTCCAACGAGTTCACCAACGCCAACGGTGAGTGAGGCCGGGGGGGTGGGCACGGAGCTCAACCCCCACCCCCCCCAACCTCGGGGATGGCGGTGACAGCGCGGTGCCGTTCAGGGGACACGGTGGCGGTGCGGGTGTGCGGCACGGTGGGTGAAACGGCAGCGCTGCTGGGCTCCGTGCTGCACCCCGAACGGGAAGCGGCGGAGCTGCTGGCGGCCGCGGCACACCGGGAGGTGGCAGTCGGGGACGCGGCGCTGGATGGCATCACCGTCAGCATCGCCCCCGGGGATGTGGCCGTCTGGATCGATCCCATCGGTGAGGGGGCACCGAGTTGGGCTGGGATCCCCTCTGCACACCGCGGCTGTGCGGTGATGGTGACGGCGGTCTGTGTGCAGATTCCACCAATGAGTACATCGTGGGGCGTGAGGATGTTGTCCCCCAGGATGGCATCGCGCCGTCGGGGCTCTGCTCGGCGCTGGTGCTCATCGGTGCCTATGAACGCAGCAGTGGTCGCCCCGTGCTGGGTGTCATCAACGAGCCTTTCCACCGCCGCCACCCCCAGACACGTGGGTACGTGGGGGGGGACTCTCAAACCTCGCCGTGGCCACGGTGGGGACATCGTGAGGGGTCCCCCCTCGGTGACCCCATCCTGGCAGAGCCGCAGTGGCCATCGGTGTATCCTCACCCCACAGGTGGCAGGGCCGCTACCATTGGGGTATCGCCTACCGGGGCACCCACCTCTCCTCTCTGAGCCCCCCACCACCACCACAACCCCCTCCTCGTGTGGTGCTGAGCCGGGCAGAGGCGCAGGGGGTGCGTGATGCTCTGGCCTCACTCAGTGGGGGTCACCTCCATTTCGCTGCCGGTGCCGGTTACAAGATGCTGTGTGTCATCCTGGGACATGCGGATGCCTACATCCTCTCTGGGGGGAGCACCTTTGCATGGGATGCCTGTGCCCCCCACGCCATCCTGTGTGCTCTAGGGGGGGGTGTGGTGGCCCTGAGGGATGCCCTAAGGGCACAGAGGGAGGGGGACACGAGGACGCCCCCCCAGCTGACCTACAACCGCCCGGCTGAGGGGGCAGTGGGGGCTGAGCGTTGGGCCAACCTGGGGGGGCTGGTGGCCTATGTGCACCCCCAGCACTTGGAGGCGGTGCTGGAGGCGCTGGCAGCCGTGCCGGGGCTTTGAGTGGGGAGGGGTTGGGGGGCAGGGGGTGGGGCAGGGATGTGGGTGATGAGACAGTGGATGTGGGCTATTAGGAACAAAGGGGCACAGGGAGGTGACACCTGAATGGCAGGACCCCAGGGTGCGGGATGTGGGGTGGTGGGGACCCTTAAAGTGGGGCAGGGGGGTGTGAGGCAGCTGGGACCACATGGCAAGGGACCCAAGGGGCATGGGACAGTGACAGCTGGGTGGCAGGACACAAGGGTGTGGGATGCGGGGTGTTTGGAGACCCTGGGATACCCAGCATAGACTGGGGGACACAAAGGTGTCACACGGGGTGGTGACACGTGGGTGGCAGGACCCCAGGGTGCGGGACATGGGGTGGTGGGGACCCTTAAAGTGGGGCAGTGGGATGAGGGGTGGGTGGACCCCATAGGAGAGGACTGAGGGACATGGGACAGTGATATTATGGTGCCCAGGGTGCCAGGGTGTGGGATGTGGGGTGTTTGGAGTGCATAGCATGGGATGGGAGGAAACAAAGGTGTCACACGGGGTGGTGACACGTGGGTGGCAGGACCCCAGGGTGCGGGATGTGGGGTGGTGGGGACCCTTAAAGTGGGGCAGGGGGGTGTGGGGCAGCTGGGACCCCACGGCAAGGGACCCAAGGGGCATGGGACAGTGACAGCTGATGCCCAGAGTGCCAGGGGCATGGGGTGTTTGGAGACCTTGGGGTGCCCAGCATAGGATGGGGGGACACAAAGGTGTCACACGGGGTGGTGACACGTGGGTGGCAGGACCCCAGGGTGCGGGACATGGAGTGGTGGGAACCCTTAAAGTGAGACAGAGGGGTGTGGGGCAGCTGGGACCCCATGGCAAGGGACCCAAGGGGCATGGGACAGTGACAGCTGGTGCCCAGAATGCCAGGGTATGAGGCATGGGGTGTTTGGAAACACTGGGGTGGTCAGCATGGGACGGGGAGACACAAAGATGCCACATGGGGAGGTGATATGTGGGTGGCAGGATCCCAGGGTGCGGGATGTGGGGTGGTGGGGTCCCTTAAAGTGGGGCAGGGGGGTGTGGGGCAGCTGGGACCCCACGGCAAGGGACCCAAGGGGCATGGAACAGTGACAGCTGGTGCCCAGAGTGCCACTCAGGGGCATGGGGCGTTTGGGGACCCTGGGGTGCCCAGCATGGGATGGGGGGACACAAAGGTGTCACATGGGGAGGTGACACGTCCCAGGGTGTGGGACATGGGGGGCGGGGACACTTAAAGTGGCACCCAGTGGGGGGACAGAGGGACACGGAGCGGTGCCACCGCGGTGCCGGTGGGGCAGAGGGGACATGGAGGCACCGGGGCTGCGTGCCGCTCCGCATCATTAAAGGCTCCGCGTCGCCCCCGTCTCTGTCCATCCCGCGGAGCGCCGATGGGGCGAAAGGGGGGAGGATGGGGGGGGTGGGCGGAACCGGGGCGGGGCGGGGCGGGGCGGGACCGGGCGGGACCGGGGTTTCCTGTTGACTGGCCGCCGGGCCTCCGTCACATGACCGGAGAGCACAAGGAGGAACGGCGGCGCCGGTGAGTGCCCGGGGCGGGGGAGCGGCACCGGGAGCGGGATCGGAACCGGAACCGGAGTGCGGGGCTGCGGTACCGGGAGAGGTCCTGGGGGCGGGGGAGGGGGAAGCGGTACCGGTTCTGGTTCTGGTAGCGGAGCGGCGGGGGTGGGAGAACGGGAGCGGAGCGCGGTGGGTGTTGGGGGGGTTCCGTGGTGGGTGGGAGGGTGGTGGGGGGGGTCGCGGTACCGGAGCTGCGGTCTGGACGGGACGGCGGTTCGGTTCGGTGCCGTAAAAGGGATCGGCGCTTCCCGCAGGATTCGCCATGGCGGTGGAGGGCGGAATGAAGTGCGTGAAGTTTTTGGTGTTCATCTTTAACTTTATCTTCTGGGTGAGTGCGGGGCCGGGGGCTGGGGGGGGCATTGCGCTTTTACCCGACGGGACCCCCCCCTCCCCTCCCCTCCCCTCCTCACCTCAACTTTCCTTTTCTCGGGACCCCTCCCGTCCCTTAACGCCCCCAATGGAGATCCCGGGTTGGGGGGGGG